TACTTTGGGAGAGTTAATCTATGTATATACTACTACACCTGCATGAATGTGATGTGATTATTATTGTTGCAAAGCCTGGTTCAGGTTAAATCCTCTGTAAAACATGAATGAATACAGCAAAAGAAAAACATTGAACTTTCTTTTATTGTGTAGTTTGACAGTCAGACACAAGTGAAGAACAACAGATAGAAATCATATAATAAATAACAACTGATTTAAAAAGCCACAGTGAGTGTTTCACACATACTGCTGCTATACAGTGATATGGCGTTTGTTTTCACTCTGGTCCAAACGCCGCGCCACTGGCAGGGCTTCATGTTTCCATCACTCCCGATTGTTAAAATGAGTCTCAAAGTAACGATAAACTTTAACAACAGAGACACACGTACGCACTACACAGGTACGCAGTTTATTTGTCGCGCTGCTGTTTTTGTTTAATAGACGGACCGCTCCAGTTCGACTGTAGCCGCGCTAATGGCGCTAACAGAGCTAACTGGTAAACGGTGCCTGGACTCCAGTACTCACCGATATGGTATCGGAACCGGAACAACTCTCGGTAAAAGGAAAGAAGTGTGAGACAGCTTTGGAGCAACTTACTTAGTTGATTCACAACACTACAACTAAACGGATCCTCAGTCTGTGTGTGTGTCGCGCTGTACGGCGGTCGGGCTGTGGAGCGGGTGAGAAGAGGATGATACCATTTGCTAAGCGGGGATGTTTTCATTTTCGTCCTGAACATATACATTTTAAACCACAAACTACGGAGTATGTTTTGGACATTATTTAACCTTGTGAAAGACAAACAAAAATTTTAGAATAACAACATTTCTTACTCCAAGGCTCCAAACCCTTCAAGTGTTATAAGAGTAGCGTAATTCCCTTGGGGAACAAGCTGTGTGTAAAATGTGTGTATGTGCGTAAGGTGTGAGTGGACAAGCGAGAGAGAGAGAGAGGGTGTACGTGCGTGGATGCAGGAGCTGCAGGTTAGCGCGGGAGTTGGTTTCTAGCAGTGAATGTACAGTGTGTATGGTGCAACAGTGTAAAATAAAGACCACTCTATCTCAATGTCAACCCGGAGCTCCCGTGTCTGTGTTCCTACTGCTGTAGAAAGTGAGGGGGGGTTAACCCCCAAGTGGAGGACACACTTTGGCCCCAGGAGACGATCTGGGCAGGAGCTCACAAGAACCTCAACGCTTCACATTTTGTATTTTAATAAATCCTGTTTTGGTTGCACACTAATTAATGAATATGTATTTGTATAAAAAAAACCTGCAAATCCATTTGGGTTTGATTTGCTTGTAGGTTGGTAGGCTAATATAAAGACACGCGTACATTTATGACCATATTTGACCGATGAAACAGATTTTTGATAATTCACATATTAATAAAGACAGCAATGACTTGTCGAGTCCTTTCATACAAGTCTAAATCAAGTCTCTAGTCATGAATAGCAAGTCAAAGTC